TTGTGCTCTGAGCCTCCTGCTCTTGACTGACGATACTCCTAACGGAAAATGGTCTGAACGTGGCGTGAAAGTCGTATCAAGTGACCAAGCACAGTCATCCGTCGTACCTACAACGGGTGCGATTGACGAGAAACCGACGGCTGCTAGCTCCATAGCTTCCAACGACGAGAAGAAACAACGACAACCTTCCACGGATATCGAGGCCGGACATGGAGACGTCCAAGTCATCGATGAAGTCCAACACGAAGTCATCGTCAAGCCCACTTTCAAGGAAGCTATGAAGGTCATGTTCTCCCTTCAAACCGCATCGCTTTGTGCCGGCTACTTCTGTTCTTTTGGCGGCGAATTAGCCATCAACTCCATCCTCGGCGCCTACTACCTCAAGAACTTCCCATACCTCGGCCAAACACAATCCGGCCGATGGGCTGCCATGTTTGGTCTATTGAACGTCGTCACACGTCCTCTCGGTGGCGTAATTGCCGACTACATCTACAAAGTCACCGGGCATAGCCTTTGGGCTAAGAAATTCTGGATCCACTTTGTTGGCGTCATGTCTGGTGTCCTGTGTATTGTTGTTGGAAAGCTGGACCCAAAGAACCTGGATGAGATGATTGGACTTATTGCTGTCATGGCCATCTTTCTCGAAGCTGGCAACGGTGCTAACTTCGCTTTGGTACCGCATGTTCACCCTCATGCCAATGGTAAGTCTTGTTCTTTTAAACCCAAGATTCTATACCAGCTGCTAACGGTATTCAAGGTGTTCTTTCAGGCATCGTTGGTGCAACCGGCAACTTTGGAGGCATCATCTTCGCCATCATCTTCCGCTACCACAAGACGGACTACGCACAAGTTTTCTGGATCAGCGGCATAATGATCATTGCGCTAAATTGCATCTTCTTGTGGGTCAGACCCATTCCGAAGAACCAGATTGGTGGTCGATAAACCCTTTTATGATCTTTCTACGATTAAGTTTGTTTTCTAGCGTTATGATAGATGAGATACCTTTGCCTTGGTTGCACATGTACATGATTATTTTGAATGTCAAACTTTAGACTTTCCCACGTGGCTTTCTTTTTTTTTTGGCTTTGCATGATGCGCTAAAGTCTCAAAGGATATCCAATAGTCTTTGTGTTGCTAGTCCAGTCCAGGCTGAGGCTGTGCTCAGAATGTGCAATTCTCGAGTGAGGCGCTAGGCGAAATGCACACTAGTTCCAGAATTGCACTTTCAACAGCGTCACCGTCAGCCCCTGCTCACTTTTGCACTCAGCTACTACGCATGATGTGCAAATGTATTCTTAATACTAGAACTGCACAACTAGCATCTTTTTCCTTGTCGTATTCTTTTGCATTTAAACTAACTTGTGTACCCCTGTTTTCTGCATGCTACCTAGATTGTTCCCTGGTGGTTGCCTAGTACATATATGCGCTTTCCTTGCTGTCATCTCTTATCATTCAAGTGCAACAATTCCATTACCCATCGCTTTTGCACCCGCTGCTCAAGAATAAGGGTTGAAAGATGACAAAGGACTGGGATCTTGTCCAAGATGAAATCAAGGAGCTTTCCTTCTCACAAAAGAAAACACTCGAGGAAGTGAAAGAGATGATGGAACGGAAATACCAGTTTCGCGCTTCGTAAGTGGATATTGCATGAAGTGGTGATGATACTAGACGTACTATTTACTGACACATGGAGAAAAGAACAAGAGCGTATCGTATGAAGCTGAAAGAGTGGGGGCTCATGAGACACAAGCCGCGCGGTATTGTTCAGCGCCGACGTGAGGCGAGACACAGGAGCAAGAGTAGTCCAGTGATCGACAATGACGGATGGGAGGAACAACCTGGTGGGACAGATGAGACTGTGGCCACCAGTCAATCATCACCAGAGAATTCCTTGGAGACTAGAGGTTGGCCGATTGGCACCAATCTGCCGAGTCTGGCTGCTGACGAAGCGGTTGACAATGCGGAGCCAGCGTTCATAGAGCCTCAAGAGTAAGATCTGGTCAAAGTGCTTCGTGGCAATCGAACATATACTTACCCAACATGTCGCAGCCTCCAAGTACCTGCTCAAATATGGCCCGTGGATTCTTCTCAACCATCCGCCATAGTATTGGACATGGTTGAAGCAATCCTCGATAGCGACGCTGAGCGGCTCGAAAGGCTCATTCTCAAGAATGAAGACCACATCAATGATCCCCTCGGCTCACTCTTGTGTGATCCCACGAATCGCCTCTTTGGCCACCCTGCGCTCAATCGCATGGTCATCCTGCAGCACCCTGGACAAACCATGTTTGATGTCGCGTGCGGCATGCCATGCGGGCCAGTCGTTTGGGCCCTGCTTGCGTATGGTGCAAAAGGCTCCAAACATCCACTTGGCTCAGATTTGGCCTTGCACAACGCCATCAAAAACGGACGTGTCTATACTGTTCAAGCGCTACTCCTACCTAACCGCTCGGCTGTTAATGGTCTTCCCAACTCCAAATGGACACCACTTCGACAAGCTATATTTTGGATGCATCCAGAAGTCGTTCGCGTCCTATTGAACCGAGGCGCAAACGTCGAGGATCTGGATCCCCCGCTTGTCCAGACAGACGTAAATTCTCCGCTGCAGCTGTGTCTGGTGCGCAGGATGAATAACTATTCTGATCCCTTGTATCGCGAAAACTGTCACAAGATTCTCTCACAGTTGCTCGCTGCAGGAGCAAATGTTCACAGAACTTCTCAAGATCCGGTGATTCAATCGACATTTGACGCGTTCCTACAGCCATGGAAGAATCGTCCTTACTGGGCTTTTGAAGTCTGTGAAGAAGAGCTCGAGTGCTTTGCAATGTTTGTTAGCAAAGGCGTTAATCTCCAGTTGTCCTTTCAGGGAGTTCCTTGTCGGTCACCTGCCAAGGAGAGTTTTGTGCATCAGGCACTTTGGCACTCGACGCCAGCGATTGCAAGATTGCTTATCGATAACTTTGTTCAAACGCCAAATGAAAACGGTTCGCTGCTTCTCCAGGAAGTCGTCGGTAGCTGTCCGGATGCAAAGCGACACGGTACCGATACACTGCGTGATATTCAAGTTTTGCTAGGAAAAGGCATAAGTCCCAACCTCACAGAAGGCAGTCTAATAAGTCCACTGCGCAAGTGTATTACAGAATGCCCTGCTGTCGATCTCGTTGCACGTCTTCAGGTTCTTCTTGACGGGGGCGCGGACCCAGAAGTCGAAGATCCTGACGGCGTGCAACCGTATATTCTCGCGGCTGAAACTTTCGACGAGCCACTGCTATCTGAAGTAATGTCCGCTCTGGCTGCCAAGATTTCCGGGACACATTTTCGGACTCTTGATGGCGCCCCGTCTCAAGGCCCTGGCGACCTTTTTCCTATCTCGACAACACAGACATACGAACAAGTCATGTCATGTACACGACCGACAGGCGATCTTACGCTTTACATGCAGCGCACGGTACCTGAACATATCCGACCAGTTTTTCGCAAAGCATACTTCTCCGTAGCCAGTCGATACTTTCTCGAAACGGCGGTTCATCACTCGAACACAAGATTATTGGATTTTAAAGAGAAAGATGAAGTTATGCAGATTGGTCTGATGCGTGCAACCTTGGGTATTCCGCGTGTCAGATTTAACACAGACCCTGTCGGTACACTAATGCACATGGTGCCTTATCCGCCAGATACAATACCAGAGCCCACGGCATCTGAGCCAACAACGCACAATAATCCTGCCGTTGTTGTTGACAGAAGCTCGCCTGCTTCAAGTAAGACGATCAACTCCATCACTTCAACACATGGACCGTTTCAATTCAATCCCACGGGTAACAAGTCAACATTAGCTGATTGCCAGCTCTCACCTGACCCGGCTGCTCCAGCTTCCCCACCAGAGTCGAGCGAAGACTTCTTCATCCCATCTATCACACGACTGCGGTGGCCAAATCCCTGCGCAAAACCCCAACCAGGCGATGCACAAAAAGTGCTCGAAGCTGTTCTAAATGCCACATGTGGAACATGCAACAATGGAAAGATGTTGACAAAGAAAGAGGTAGAGAGGCATGAAATCGAACACACACATTGTGCAGATTGTACCGATAAAGATTGCACGAGGCGCTTCTGTGCTGCAAGAAGAACAGCTAGCATCACGTGAAAAGCTAGCGATCCAGACGACGCTATCGTAACGGTCAATTTCATACAACCAATAACTTTGGAGAGCTCACAGAGATCGCAACTATCCATACATCGATAAACAACATGTAGATCGACCGCCAACTTCTATTGCTCGAAAAGCTGGCGTTGTCCTTATGACGTACCACTGCCCCTTTCTCAGTCCCATACCGCAAAAGCGATTCTGGCCAAAGACCCGCTTGCATACGAGTGTATACGGGTGCTAGGTAGATGCGGTAAAAGCATGACGGATAGCGGGTTGCGGGACACGGGAAACCGGTCGCAAGCTTGCCGAATACGTCATGCATGTACGCGTGGCCTTTTTGAGTATTTCTTATCCATGTCGTTCTAGAAATTGATGCAAAGAGCGGTGACCGGAAGGCGGGTATGTTTGGTGTTTTTTTCTGTTTTGAACGGGTCTAGGCAAAGGGATGTTTGCACATGGTGTTTCTTCGTCCACGGAGCATCCACCTGGTGATAATATAGCAAGGGGTCTATGCTATCAATACTTTGTGGTTTTCTCGCCAGACACGGCTCGGTTAACAAGTGCATTGAGTGGAAAACGGGAATCACGGCTCTACGCAAATCAGGCTCTAGGTCGAAAGAAAGGAAGGATGACGAGTATGCTGTCATGCCATGGGAGGACAAGAGCCGCGGCTTGATGTTTAGAAACAAAGAACCTGATTTTCAACTGGTAGTAAAAGCGCACTCTATACAAGACTTGATGGTTATTTAGCACAATCAACACTCACTATCAACTTCTTGTTCCCATACATCCATCCGAATAGAATCAACCAACTCCATCTCCTTCCAGCCAACAACTTACCAAACCATCTCCCAAAATGCGCCTCTCAAACCTCACCTTCTTCACCCTCACTACCCTCTCCTTCGCATCCCCCCTCCTCTCCCCCCGCCAAGCCCCAGAATCATCCATCGAATCCCTCCTAACCACTCTCTTCGCAACCGTCCAAACCTACACCGGCGCAATAAGTAACTTTCTCAGCCCCCTCCCACACCCCCCAAAGATACTTACCAAACCTTCCCAGATGCCACCCTAGCCCCACTCACCCCTTCCTCCCCGTTGCTAGAAAAAGCAGCAGCAATCCCGCAGATCGCGTCTCAAATCACAAAAATCACGCTAGCTATCCAGTCCACTGCCGCTGAAATACGTAGTACTAGCAGCCTCGCTCCGGAAAATGCTACTCAACCGACTACGAATACTACTACCGCCACCGACGACGACGACGACGACGACAACAACAACAACAACACGAGTATCGCACCTCGCCATGATGCCAGTACACAGCAGGACAGCGGAGTGGCAGTGCTAAAACGTCAAGCTATAGCTATAGCCGCACTACTATCCCTTATCATCATTGAAATCTTTGCTACGGTTACGGCCGCGGTTGCGATTCTGGGGCTTGCGGGGCTGCTGGTTTATCTGAATCCGTTGACGGGCGCGCTCAGTGCACTGATTCTGGCGGTGCAGTTGGTGCTGAATGTTGTCCTTGTTGGGGTTATTGCTTTGTTGAATGGGCTGTTGACGTCGCTGGCGTTGGGGTTGAGTGGCTTGTAAAATACATGTGTGTATTCTGTTTAGTTATATGGGCCGGGGAAGCTTGCGTGATGTTGGATACTCGATATCCAAAGTCACACCTTATTCATATCGTGATTTCAGTGCTGGGAGAAACTGAAAGTAAGTGATGCCAGGGACCTGAACTCCCTTCGTAACATGAGTACTGTGGCAACAATACTTGTCTACTTTGCCACATTTTTGAGATACGATGACAACAAGTGTTGGGGAACAATGCATGCTCGATTGATACGCCTAACCTGCGCCTACAGATGCTATGCAACAATACGCCACTTTGCGTCAGTTCCACCATAACCCCCTAATATCACAATATCATGGTCCTCTTTGCGTCAACCATGTTTCCGTCTAGTTTCTAAAGTCCAGTGAATGCGCCCTTTTCAACAATTAATCGCCAATCAGCCGAATCTCGGCAACCTCGTCATCCTGTTGCGTGACGGGTGTGGCAACACCACCCCATCCTCCCTTGGCAGGCTCGTCGTCACCAAAATCTTCCAAAAGTCTATCACTCAATTCCATGCCGTCACCCGTTGATGCTGCGCCCGTGTCAGAAACTACACCACCGGTATCTGAGTCATTATCATTGCGAGCAGCGTTGTCGCTCAGCGCATTGAAACTCCACATTGGCTGGTCGTTGTCGGTGGCCCAAGGATTGTTGCTGTACGAATCTTCCACAAATCCTTCGTCTTCGTCAGCATATGGGGGAAGGTCATCGTCGTCACTCAGGTTCGCGGCTGCGGCTCCGCTCTTTGGACGGCTCCCGGCTGCTGAACGCTGAAAGCCATCCCCGCGCAGGGCTGCGGCTCCCGCTCCGACTGCGCCAGCGCTCGACGACCCATTGCGGGACGAATCGCCGAGGCGCAAGCCGTTTCCCGCCGGTGAGCGGGAGCGGGCCTGCTGATCGTCCGCGTCCGTATTGTTTTCATCGTCAGAGTCGGGATTGCTGACGTCGGCGGTTACCACCTTCTGAAGCTCTGGAGGGCCTAAAGGGACAGGCGAGCGACGGCGGTAAAAAAGCAAGTATGCGGCTCTCGAAACGGCCTTCTGACCAGAGTCACAGCGGGAGACAATGGAGTCTGACAAAGTTAGCTTCTGTCACGACAAGATTGGAATACCCTTCAAGTTCTGCATGACTTGGGGGGAGAGAGAAAAAAAAATCGCTCACCATTGTAGTCGTACCACTGCTTGTCGAAGAAATTCTGAGCAGTGGCTGTGTAGTGGCCCCCTCCTAGCCCACCGTAGTGATTGTCAACGGCGAAAAGGTCGTAGGTAAGATCCTTGCCTTCTGGGTAACCGACTTTGCCGGAAAGATCCAGTCCTTCAACTGGAAAGTCAACTAGATCCTCAATCTTATCTCGGAATGTTCGGTGGCCACTGAAACGCTTGAGGTGTATGATGAGGATGTCAGGAACGGTCCAGATTTCCAACGTCTTTGTTGCACGACGCAATTCTTTACACCGGCTGCAATACCATGCATTGTCCTCGGAGAGCACTTCGCTCTTTGACGATTCTGTGAAGCACTCATCCAGGTTGATTCCGTTCTTTCTACGAGCTGCACGTTTGGCCTTCTTGTCTCGAATCTCAGGATCATCAAAAACCTCAATAGACTTGATGACGTCGGCGCCTCGAGGGTCGTCATCTGAAGTACCGCCAAACAAAGCATCAATGGCCTCGGAGGTCCAGTCAAGGACAATGCCCTCGCCCATGCGGATCAAACGGTCATCAGCCTCATCATCCGGGTCGTCCGGATAGTTGGGCTGTTCGGGCACCCTACCACCTTTGCGGTTCTTGAAGTTCTTATTATTCTTATTTTTCCGCTCGATTTTCCGCTCATGCTTCCGTGCCTTCTTGCTCTTCTTCTTATTTTGGCGACCGGATCGTGCAAACTCTGTCGTTTCTGGCTCTACCGATTGCATTTCCTCGTCGCTGCTGTGGTTTGTCGTGTCTACTGCGGGATCGGCATCGACAATTGTCGACTGCGAGGCGTCTTCATCTTCATCACTTGAGGTAGGCTCGCTTCCACCGACAGAAGACTGGACGGACTCTTCTCGTGATGGCGGTACCCGGATGCGTTTCGAAATGGGCTCACATGCGCGATTGTGATCCAATGTACTCCATCCGGTAGTTACAATCTCATTACTCTTCCTCGTGTGCTTCATTTCAAACAGTTGCCTATCGTGTGTTAGCCACTAAATACTTGGTCTCTTGAATAGCTCGACGTACCTGAATTCGGGATGGATAAAACTACCCGGACGTAGCACTTCTGGGATCTGATTGGCATCGTCTCCCTGAGCGGGAGGAGTTTCTTTGGCGTCTGTCATTGTCACCTCGACCATGTCTTCACCTTCCACAGAGCCATCCTTGACTTGAGGGTCGTTCGGCGAAGCATCTTCTTCTGTTGTTAGCACAACATCAGAACCAGATTGCGACTGATCTGATCCACTGAGCTCACTGAGTATCTTCCGCGTGGTCATTTGCGCAACCCTTGCCAGCACCTTTCTGAAAATAGCGTCATAATCCCTTGCTTCGTCTCTTGTCAGAACGATGAAACTTGGCCAAAGCGCCATGCCGGTGCTCGTGGATCTATAAGCAGATACACTGGGGCTCCGATGGAAAAGAGGGACTACGATTCGGTCATGCAGCGGCGAAGCGGTGTCTGGAATATCTTCGTCGGAAGATTGGGAAAGCATCGTCTTGTACTTTGACCCCTTCTTTTTGGGAGCAGGCCAATTACTTGGTGCCATGTCGAGTTCGTAAAAATAAATGTCATCCCTAGCTCCAATGTTCGACTCGGACACAGTGAGGGAATCCTCCAGGTGACGGTAGAACTTGTGGCTGTAAAGCTCAGACGCCATTATGCGGTTAGCTGGGACGCCGCCGCCACGCTTGCCGACGAACTCTTTAAGCGTTTTGATGGTCGCGTTCTTGTCAATATCAACCTCAAGTTGATAGGGTTTTCCGTAAAGCGGCACGTATGTGATAGTGTGAGTCCAAGTCTGCTCTATGGGCAATTGTAGGGTAAGTTGGCTGTAGGGGTCAAATGTTATGCTGACTTTCTCACAGTCTGGACAGACCATGGTATTCTTGTAAAATCCGCTAAACAGATCCATCGCTACCGAGTTGTTTCGAGCGCGATGATTATCTCGATAGATTTCGCCGAGCTTCTTGACAGCCTCTGGGTCACGATAAGTGTCATCTTCTGAATCTGGGTTTTCCCGGTATGGTTTTTTGTGTATCCTGTTGAGATCCTCGTGCAGTGCATCCACCAACCAGCTGACGAACTCTTGGGAATCTTGCTGACCGTAACCGGAAAATAGGCTGTTGGCTCTTCCTAGCTTCTGCTTAAAGTCCTTTGGTGAGATGGATGAGTTGTTGTCGAGACTATAGATGGCACTCAGCAGTGAAGCGTACGACTTTGCGATGACGCCCTTGTGGCCAATGGGATTGTCGGCGTTGACCTCTTCTTTCCATTTGTTACTCAGAAAGTACATGCTCAGCTCCTCGACACTCCGGAGACACTGAAGGGCTGAGTTCATGTAACAAGTGTTGCCCAGATTTGTCAAGCCAACATGGCCACGCACTTTACCATTCTGCTTCCTTCCGCGTGTTAGGGGGCCACCCGTGGGTGTGTTCCTCCCGCTGGTGGTGGTACTCTGGAGACCTTTTCCTGCTGCAGCGCCAGCCTTGTTCTTGGACGCCTCTTTGATGGTGTCTGAAATGTACTCTCCCTTCTCGTCGTGCTCCTCGAGAACGATTGTTTGATCTTGTGTGAGACCGGCATCGGCCAGAGTGAGAGACTCGTTGTAAATCTCGTTAGCCTTCTCATCCTTGCCCGTGACTAGCTCACGCTCCGACCCATACGCAAGCATGTTAAAACTTGCGACATCCATGACAAGAGAAGGCCGTTGAACGCCCGTGGGAGCGACAGGCGAACCATTGCGGGGTGATGCGTCTGGAGTGAGTATGGCGGATGGTTGGGACGGCTGAGGTTTGTCTGTAGGTGCAGTAGAGAGAATCCTCCATATACGAACCTTGTTGTTCAAGTCGATACCCACAGCCTTTTTGGCGGCTTCGAGAAAGGTGACGAAGCTCTCGTAGCGGCTGGCGACGATTTTCTCCGCCAATTTGGAGTTATCGGCAGGATTGGCTGACTTTCGCACTTTGCGGATAGTAATAACGGGAGGGTGGAGCTCGTATGAAATGTCTTCGCTCGCTTGGCCAGGAACGGTATTGTGGGCGTAACGCCGTATGACCGGACTGCCCTTGTTGAGTCCGTACCAGCTGAGAACCAGCTCCCACGCCTTGCGCGGGAGAACCTCAAAGTCCTGGCCGAGTGTCGCAGCTTTACTCAGCGGAATGAAGTCTTCGCCGCGCTGGTCGGCCAGGTCCTCTTGCAGTAGTTCCGTGTCGACCAGGTGCGAGTTGTCGACGGGACCCACGGGGCCCTGGGTCGCTTCCTTGCTAAAGTCCTGCGGCCTGCTCACGTTCTCCGACGTTCTTGCCCAGACACGCTCTAGCCACCGCTCTGAAATGATGTAGCCCTCCTGGCGGTCGACCAGAGGCTCACTGTTCATCATGCCCATGACGCGAGTCACCTGCTCGTCTATGCTGGGCAGCTGGGCCTGGGGCGAGGCGTCGGCGGCGGCGGCGACGGTGGACGACGAGACCGGGGCCTGGTCATGGGCATCAAAGGTGCCGCTGTTGGGGGTGTCGGCCATGTCTACCGATGTGGCACGCGCACTGCGTTGTGCCTGTGCCTGTGGCTGTGATGGGCCTGTGGACAGCGACTTGGTGTTGCGGGGAGCAGAGCCGGGGTCGGGCTTGTCATCCATGTCTGAGTGAGAGCGCTTAGCGGGCGAGGAGGCGCGGGGCGGGGGCCGCGAGGCGGAGGGCAGTTGTTCGGCAGCGCGGGTGCGGTCGAGGTCGGTGATGGAGGCCTCGCGGCTGTCGAGGGTCAGGTTGGCGTAGGCTTCGCTGGGCGAGCTGGCGCCGTTGCTGTGGTCTCGTGCAAAGGCAGAGGCCGAGTCGGAAGCGTCGACCAGGACCTCGTCGTGCAGGTGCGGTGGCAGGTAGCGTGGCGGTGATGCTGAAGGCTGCGGGGAGGAGCGAGGGGAGCCTACTACTACTACGCCAGCGCTGCCCACATTCGGCGGCGAGTGCCCGTCGTCCCTGGTGGTTGGCGAGTCTCTGGCGGGGACCACGATCTTCCGCTTCTTGTTATTAGTGGAGGCCGTCTTGAAGTCGCTGGCCTGCCGCGAAGCCCGTGACGAGCTCCTGGACAGACTATTAATATACGGTGAAGGGACAGCCGAGACGGCGGACAAGCAATGTGTAGGCAGTACTATGCAACGCGTCGCCTGGGCTGGGGTGCCTGGCGGGTTGGTCCTCTGGACTTTACGAGCGAGAAAGAGAGAGAGAGAAAGAGAGAGCTTCGCAGCGGTGAAGGACGTGGGCTACCGTGCAATGCGCCGCGAAAAATGAGAGTCCTTCAACTCCCATGGCCCGTCGTCACTCTAGTACACTCCCACTACAAACTCAGCCTTGCCAATAAGCGAGCTTGGCGACTCGAGTGAAGCAACCACCCCTGTCTCGCTTGCATTCCCATCTCATGTTTCACGCTTCACTATCTACCGGACCACACCACACCACACCACACCACACAACATGGACGCTTGCTGGTATTTACTTTTTTTGATTTCGCTCCAGCCGACGGGGAACTATGCCACCACGCCATTGCCTACACTCCTTTTACTTTGACCCGCCACTGTTCAGCCATGCAAAAGCAGACGCCCCTCCCACCGGATTGGCTGCCCGTGGTTTCGTCGCTGTCCCATGACTCTCCTTTGCCTTGTCTGCAGACACCGTCCTCTTCGCCTGTGGCGGTGCCTGACTACTGCTCGTCTCACTCTCTGTCTCGCCCCTTCGCTTCCCATCATCGAAGAAGCGTGACTGTCCCGTAGTAGGCAGTGAGTTTGACCCCGACATGGTCCTCGCCGACTTGGACGGCTTCAGCACCTTGATGCCCGTATCGCGTCGTTGGTAGCTGGGGTTTGAGCTCGTGCTTGTACCCACGCTCGCCCAGTCCAACGGCCCAGCAGCAGCCGTAGCCTTCTCGGCTTGGTCCCGCCGCCAGTTGCTCCAGATGGCCGATGGTGCTGTAGAGCGCGGCGCCCCACTGGCAGCCCCAGATTCCCCTGCGCTTGCATCTTCCAGACGACTTGATAGTGACAGACCGAGACGCGGACGCTGCTCAAGACTCATGCGGCCACTCGAGCTCCCGTTCTCCGAGTTTGTCGCCGTGCCTGTGTCAGTAGACTTATCAGTAGACAGAAAAGTATCGTGGGCAGCAGATGTAGCAGAGCCGTCACTTGTCGAACGATGTTGTGTCGAGGCAGCCATCACATCTCTCTTACTCTGGTCGGCTGACGGGACACAGGTTCGACTGGAAACATGTAGCGACTTGAAGGCACGTTCATCTTCCGGACGAACCAAAGGTATCTGAAGTTTGCTGTGGTCGTCGTCATAGAGGGTTAGCTGGCTAGACGAAAACAATAGGTCGGCATTGTGGGCGCGGAGCATGTCGCTGCCGAGAAAGATCTGAAGGGCTTTTGGATTGGCTTCGGAATCATGTTCTTGAACAACAGTGAAGTTAACACCAATTGAGGGAAGTTGTGGCGCCGAGCTAGTGGACCGGGAAGAAGCTGACACCGGCACGGCTTCGGGGAGGTAGACGGACAATTTGATCTTGCGAAGACCGTCATCGTCGAGCACGACCTGGTCTTGGAAGCCAAGGTGTTTGATAAGGTGCAGGTCCAGATAGGATGTGTATGAGCCCGAGCACACGGCTGCGTACAACAAAGTATCGTGCTTGAAGTTAGTGTTGAGCCAGCAACGTATAATGGCGGGCACAGAGCCCAGAATGAACAAGCCAGGAGCCAGTCCTGGGGCGTCTTGAGGCGTCGTCGGCCCAAAGCTCGTCAGGCTGTTTGCCCGACCAGAGGCCATCGAGTGCACCGAGTGGCCGGTTGAGCTTTGCCTTCCGTCCGACTTGTGCGAGTAGCTGCGTTCGCTCATGGCATGCCCACCCAGACCGCTGCCTGTGCGGGGTATCAGGTCGAGCGAAGAGCGTGACGCGTGAGCCCAGTGGCCGTGGTTTGCCGTCTCATCAAAACGGACACTGTTGGCGCGCGATGTGACGCCTACGCGGCGGGGCACTTCGTCTTCATCGAGCTGGAGGTTGCCGATGAGGTTGGTGGAATGGCCGTCAAAGTTGGAAAAGTGTTCGGCAGTAGGCTGCTGCAAGGGCACTGTCATGTGTTAGGCCTGTAGTAACAGCAACGTGTTTGATTCGGTACCTTGCTGTGGGGTTCCGCCCAGGACTGAAGGGAAAGGCGACGATGTTCCCCAAACGTTCTTTAGGCGTGAGTCGTCGTCGTGCTTACGCTCCAAACGGGCGACACGGTCAGCAAGTTCGGCCTGGCTCTCTTGTACTCGAAGCATCTCGCTCTGGAAGCGCCAGAGATCGTCGCGCGGCTGGAAAGCTACGCTCTGGGGATCCATGCCCCCGGCCGTCTGATGCCCTAGCAGCGTGCACAGTAAAGAGAGCCCGACCTTCCCGTAGGCGCTGGCCTACCGACGAGCGCCAAGCGACTGATTCTCCTCAGCCCGTGTGTGTCTGGCTTGTGTGCGTGTGTATTTGTATGTGCATGTGTGATGATGCGCGTGTGCTTGTCCTATGTCTGGTGTAGGCTCGAGGCTCGATCGGGCAGCGGTGACGCAGCAGCGGCGAAGATGCAGTAAGAATGAAGTTGTGGGACTACGTGGGCGTAAGAAATCACGACGATGTACAAACTGGCCCGGGGCGAAGTCGGTGAATGTAAAGAGCAAGCGGCGACGGTTGGCCAAAGGGGACTAGTCAAGAGGTGTTTGGAGCGGAATATTCTCAGCACCCAACCTACATATGCCAGCAAGCAGCAGGATGCGAACAAGATGACGAGAAGAAAAAGGCGAAGCAATCTACCGTGTTTGCAAGCGCAAGTTGAGTGTCAAGCTCGAGTGTTTGCGATGGTTTGTATTTGCGTACGTTCAGCACGATGCTAGTAGGATGAGGTTCAATCGAGGCTACGCCGCTAAGCACCTGCCTCCCGGAGTTACGGCCCAGGTCCGATTGGTCCAGACGTGCATCCCGTATTCCCCAGAGCACCCCCGCCTATTGCCCACTGTGGGCGGCTGCATACTTACATGGGCATGGGCACTGTTTTGCATCATGTACTACTTACTTACATGTATGTATATAGTAACAAGGTGGTGGATGTCTCCAAGGTGTCTATTCTTTTTTTATGCGGCTACATGATCATTCTTCCATGCTTTCCAAGCAGCTTCATCGTTCCATGGCGGCAGAACCATGGGAAGTTTGTCTGGCAATTGATCGGGCCAATTGTGTGAAATGACGTTGATCAACTCATCGTAGAGGATGCGGTAGCCTGCCGGGTTCATATGTAGGCCTGAGGATGCTATCAGTACCCTTGCGATATGTGCAAAATGCGCCGAGTAGACGTACCATCGTACATGAGGTCGGCCAATGCGTTGCTTGAGGGCAGCGCCAAGGAACCAGGGACATGGTCTCCGGGCTTCCAGGCATCGACATTGAATTCAGTGCGTGACATGAAAGCTTTCCACAAATTGAGTACTGGGAGGTGCAGCTCAGCGGCTAGTTGGACGACTGCATCGGCATACATCTTGGTCGTCTCGGCCAGTCGCGAGACTCTGCCATATCCGCTGGACTGGTCTCTGGCCCACCACAAGTGCTCGTTCATCGGGGGAGGGGCGACGAGGATGATGCGAGGCGCGTGGGCGAGTATGCAAGGGTGGGAGACTATGGCGCGCAGGTTGGCCTTGAACTCATCGAGCGGAATGTGCTGCTTGTTGGGGGCATCTGGCAGCGAGGCATCGTTTGCGCCAAAGAAGACGGTCTGCGCTGTCAACAATGATATCACACGATGTGGACATTGTGGAAATAATACCATGAAGCGAATCTTGGCGTGACTCGGGGGTGGCACGATAGCCGGTAAGACCTGGAGAGCTTGACGAGAGTTGTACCCGCTCTATGACATCAGCGCCCGTCGCAGTCGCAACAGCTGGCAGTGAGCACGCTACCTGAAGCCTCGGTTGACCACGTCGAGTCGCCTTATGTATGCTGAGCGAGGGGGGGTTGGTCAGCATGCACGCGCACCACATCCACACACTCGCTTTTCTGTGGTCACCGAGCATTGCATTGCATGCCCGTCCCGCAAGGCAATCAAAGGTTGTTGGCTGGAGGGCGGGGGACAAAGTCAAAGGAAAAGTAGCAATCGAGCCATGTGGACTGACCGGCTTGGAGAGCTGCAGCAAATGCAAACCCCCGCTCCTGGGAAAACGAGTCCTGGGTGATGCTGTCACCGAGCAAAAAGAATTGTTCATAGAGGGCAGACTGTGTGTGTCAATCCACAGCCGAGACGACAAGGCAGACGGGAGGGGGCACCCACCATGATGAGCACCGAAAGGCAGAAAAGGAAGTATGTGTGTATGTGTGTATGTGTGTGTGTGTGTGTGTGTGTGTGTGTGTGTGTATGTGTGCACGTGTGCATGTACGCAGATGTTTGGCCGTATCAGCAGCAGCTGTTCCTGCGTTGCACAGATGCAGACGCGATGGTGCGAGGCCACCAGTGGAAGAGGCGCTTGGCTGGGCGTAAACAATGGCGTGCCATCAACTAACTCAGACGTAGACGGGCAAAAAGCAATGCTCGCCTGGCTGGCCATGGCCTAGCGGCGCCTCCAGCTGCCTGTTCCCTGCCAGTTGCCGCCCCTCGCGCGACCCAGAGAACGACAATCACATGGCACGCGCCTACCGCCAGTTGCATGTCCTACTACATACACTCTCTCCCAAGTACACATTGGCACAGCCCCCCACCCCGTCTGCTTTTGCCTGTCCTTGCCGAGTCGCGTCGCCGCTGATACCCCCGGCATGCCGCTTGCAGTTTTGGAGACTCGTCATTATGCCGTGGCGTCAGGCAGATGCTCGACCATGAAGCCCCCCCTTGCAACCATGGTGGTGAAGATCCGCAGCCAGGTGGGGACGGGGGGCCATGCTGCCCAGCCATAGCATATCCATCGTGACACCGCCATCACTCCCCCAGATGACCATGATAGTGCGGCCGCTCGGCGACATGTCTCAAACTGACCTCACCACTAATAATACGCTGCCCTTGCCCGTCCTCTAACTTCCCCTTCTCTCTCCACCTCCCTCTCCACACCTCCTCCACCTCCACCCCCCTCCTCCTCCTGCGTCGTCGCCGCCATGCCCAAGTCGACGCACTCCTATCACAGCGTCGATGACTATGACACCGCCCACGCCCAGGGCTCTGCCGACCGCGGCGAGAGCCATGACACATACAGCAGCACCACTCCCACGTCGCCAACCCTCACCTTCAGCGCCATGAGGCATATGCGAGCTTCGGACACGGACCTCGCCAGGTCCAGAGAGAGCGTCAACGAGCGGACCTCGTTGCTGGGCCTGCCCCATCTGCGCTCGGCCAGGTCCTACAAGAGCCTCCCGGGCACCACGCCTGGCACCCCGCGTCCCGGCATGACGCGTAACAACAGCCATCTGCCCACCACCTCGCGCATACGCTCCAGCAGGCGAGGCTCCCTCACCGGCGGCCACACGTTCAGTCAGCGTCTCGTGAATGCGCTGGGCGAGCGAGGCCACGGTCTCGAGCAGAGCATGCACTCGGCAAAGGCAGCCATCTTCCAGGACGACCGCGTGTGGTATGACCAGTTCACCTCCACCGATTGGGTTCACGACAACATCGCCGACGCATACCGTGTAAAAGCACTGCGGAGCAGGAAGGACATCAGGGGCCGTCTCGCGGCTTGGTTCGACGGTGCCCAGGGCTGGATCCTGGTCGCCATCATTGGTGTCCTGACCGCCGTCTGCGCCTATTTCGTCAACACGACCGAGACAACCCTCTTCGACCTAAAGCAGGGATACTGTTCGGTTGGCTGGACAAAGAGTCACAAGAAATGCTGTGACGGCGCTTCGATATGCGACAAATGGATCCATTGGTCCGAAGCCGTGCGCACAGACAGACTGGATGTCGTGCAGACACAGTATGGCTTCTTTGTCTTTTCCGTTGTCCTGCTCTCCATGGCCTCGTGTCTGCTCACCCTCACTACAAAGACCGTTATCCCATCCGCCATTTCGCTCTCTACGCTAGACGAGAACCTTGGTGCAGAAGTTCGAAGATTTTCCGACGATGACGATGATGACAACAAGCGCAGCACCAGCCCTGAATCTAGGTTTCAGGAGGTGCAGGCCCGACCCCCTATGGTCTACTATTCTGCTGCCGGTAGTGGTGTCGCCGAAGTCAAAGTCATTCTCAGTGGCTTTGTCCTCCACGGTTACCTTGGTGTACGCACCCTCGTCATCAAGACCCTCGCCCTTATTCTCAGTGTCGCATCAGGCCTCAGTCTCGGCAAAGAAGGTCCCTATGTCCACATTGCCACATGTATTGGCAACATTGCCTGCCGTATTTTCTCCAAGTACAGTAACAATGATGGCAAGCGCAGGGAAATTCTGAGCGCAAGTGCTGCTAGTGGTGTCGCTGTTGCGTTTGGTGCTCCCATTGGTGGCGTGCTTTTCAGTCTTGAGGAGGTCAGCTATTACTTCCCATCAAAGACGCTTTTCCGCACCTTCTTTTGCTGCATTGCCGCCGCTCTATCACTCAAGTTTCTCGATCCATACGGAACCAAGAAGATTGTGCTTTTCGAGGTGCGATACCATTTGGACTGGAAGTTTTTCGAACTCGCATCATTTATATTTACCGGTGCCGTTGGTGGCGTTTTGGGTGCTCTCTTTATCAAAGCATCTCGCATCTGGGCACGCACATTCCGTCGCATACCCATCATCAAAAAACACCCTCTTCTCGAGGTCTTCCTTGTTGCGCTCGTTACGGGTCTGATTAGCTTCTGGAACCGTTACACCAAGCTTCCTGTTACTGAACTCCTGTTTGAGCTAGCCAGTCCCTGCGATACTTACACTGACACGGGCGACGGCCTGTGCCCGACTGTTGAGCATATTCCTGGGGTGCTCAAACTCTTGTTCATCGCGTTCCTTATCAAGGCCACCCTGACCGTAGTTACCTTTGGCATAAAAGTGCCAGCTGGTATCTACGTACCTTCCATGGTTGTCGGTGGTCTTGCTGGACGCTTCATTGGCCACACCGTCCAGCTTGTTGCTCTCCGGTTTAGTCATCTCGGCATTTTCAGCGAGTGCTCGCCAGACGGCCCTCCAGGTTCCTGTGTCGTTCCGGGTGTCTACGCCTTAGTAGCAGCTGGAGCAACTATGACTGGTGTCACTCGTCTCAGCATCACTTTGGCTGTCATTCTTTTTGAACTCACCGGCAGCTTGGATCATGTACTCCCCTTTTCTCTAGGCATTCTTGTTTCCAAATGGGTAGCGGATGCTATTGAGCCGCTCAGCATCTACGACCTTCTGACAGACATGAACTCATACCCATTCCTTGACAACAAAGTCCGACCAATCTTCACCTCGGAATTGGGTGACATCACTCCTGGATCGAAAAATGACCATGTAATCGACATATCAGAAGATTCTCTAATTCCTGCAGTAGAGCTTCGTGCAAAGCAGCGTGCCCTACAGATGGCTGGTGAGCTAGATGGTGGTCTGTCGGTTGTCAAAAACGGCATCCTTGTTGGCCTTATCCCTGCACCAGATCTAGAGTTCGCTCTCGACAAGCTCGAAAATGAAGAAAACACGCTCTGCCTAATGTCGCCACGTGTAGACTGGGCAGCAGGACGAGAGCCCCACGATGAGGAAGAGCAAGAGGCATACGACCCGAGTGACTTCACCCCATACATTGACCCTGCCCCAGTAGCATTGGATGTTCATTCACCCATGGATCTCGTTTACGAGTGCTTTGTCAAGCTTGGACTGCGTTATATTTGTGTTCTTAGGGACGGCAAATACGCTGGTCTGGTGAGTGATGGACTTCAACCGCTGCCTAGTAGCATGACACTAACAAAACACCTAGGTTCACAAGAAAACGTTTGTCAAATATGTCAAAGAGCTTGAGGAGCGAGAGAAGAAACAGCATCACGCTTAGGCTCTTGCCAGCAACCAAAAACTCTTCCAACGCCTTCTTTCCATGTTATTTTTATACTCTCCTCGCCCACTGGTGGGACTTCTTCCTTTCCATCTTTCGTTGCAAAAACACACGAGCGATATCCACAGGCTGTATGTTGCATTTACCCTGGCGTTGTAATTGGTAGCCACTCTCTCTCGCACCGCATAGTAGTGGAGCAAAGTATTACATGATCTCTTCGTTGAGCGGGCATCATTTGCCCTTTACTAGTATGGTTTGGTAACAGTGAATTGAATTAGAATTTTAGATGGCATCTCATCACGACAAAGGTTTCAGCTTTCTATGGTCTATATACTGTGATGTCCTCACGATCCGCCAATTGGGACTTATCTATGTTGAGTTAGGGGTTGATGCATGTAGCCCCACCTTCTAGCTCTTTTTTTTTACTCTTGGTGGTCTGCAAATCTTTCACTGCAGCGCATAACCATCGAAGGATCTTGAGAACATATTTCCGATTCGCTTCGTCCGATCATGGTTTAAATGGAAATATGGAGGTTCAATTGAAAAAATTTGTCATCAAAAGCATCCAATCATGCCTTCGTAGCTCAGTGGTAGAGCGCGTCACTAGTAATGACGAGGCCGTCAGTTCAATTCTGGCCGAAGGCATTTCCTTTTTTGTTCTCCGGACGTCAGTGGCTGTGATTTTTACATCATATTGTACCTTTGTGTACTTTTTTTTGTCTTGGTGAAAACGATGCGCTTGGCGGACTATTCACGGCGACAAATGCAATGTACGACCACCAAGCATACTTTGCATTCATGTCATGCGTGTTCATACACGTACGGTGGTAAATGGGTAGGTGTAGGGGGGTACCCATTTACCAGCGTAGTTCTAAGATTTAACTAAGATTCTATCGAGGATCTATCTAAAGGGCGGTCAGTCCGTTATAATTATCCCTCACGTTACGTAATAATAAAGTGTACTTAATATATTAGTTAGCTAAGAACTTCCTTATTACGAAAGCGTTAGATAAGATCTTTTAAGATGGCGTAGAACAGCATCCGGTCTGATTCATTCGGCCGGCAGTGCTGTAGCTAGAACAGTATAATTCCAGCTGCGATCAATGCGTTGAGGTCCTTGAATACGGGCGGNCATTGATCGCAGCTGGAATTATACTGTTCTAGCTACAGCACTGCCGGCCGAATGAATCAGACCGGATGCTGTTCTCGTATCCTCCCCACACTGTGGGCCATACGAAAAGGACGTATATTAAGTTGTTAATAGGGAACAAGTCTAGTAAACTTCTATAGGTGATAGAGGCTGTATTAGTAAGGAGAATATCAGAGATAAGAGACATAGTGCTAACCTTCTACATAAATGCTTTATAGCGATTCTTTTCGTATTTCACTAATTTATTCCCGCACCTGGAAAATATAGCGCAGGAATAACGCCGAGGAGTGTTTAGGTAGTATAAGATATTGTGGGTATCTCACGTAAGAATAGATATAGCTACGCACAGGCAGTAAAGCTGCTATTAAAGAAGGGTATAAATATCTAGCCTATCGCATGATGGTTTCAATCAGTACCTCAATCTACTACTTCTTCACTATACTTATACAAATAAATACACAACTTACACTAATTGGAAACATGTTGTTCTCTAAAGTTTCTATTATTATGGGTCTTGCCCTTACCATTTACGCAAGCCCGGAGCCCGCTGTTGAGAACCTTAAGCGCCAATATGCTCGAGTAAGTTACTTTAATACTACAGCTAGTGAAGGTATTCTAAAATAATATAATGGAGATTCTAACATGGTTACTAGACAGCGTGTGTTCAAAACTATAGGAACGATGCGCCTCAAGGATACTGCCAGACGTATAATGGTGATGGCCTAGCGCTAGGTGATGGCCAGGCGTGCCGCAAGGTAGAACTCCAAAGAAATCCATAACAAGGTGTTAGCATATACTAATAAGAGGTAATAGTCCAATCCTTGCAAGGTTGAGGGTAATGGATGCATCCTGAACATTGAAAATTATGAGGGCGGTTGGTATGCCAACTGCAGCTAAGAGAACTTATGCACCTAAACTACTTATCAAACAACAAGATGTACAGTTTCGCTGTAGATAGAGTAGCAATACTAAGAGAAGGGGTTCTTTTATCCTTTTAGGTCGGCGAGTCTCTCACAAGTGCTGTCTTTACTATATAGGAGATTACCATCTTAGGATAAATGTTATAGTATAGTGTTACTAGAAGAGAATAATAGACACCTTTGCTTACATGTGCTTAGTACTACCTTGTCTCTATCTATATTTATTTCTCTATGTAACTATAGCGACGGTATTATAATCTTTAGACAGTATAAAGTTGTGTTGTAATAGTGAAGCTGAGCATCTAGTTACCACTAAGATAACAAAACTGCTATGACCCCCGAGCGTGTGTACACACGTTCCACTGCTCGCGTCCTGGATCTTGACAGTGATGTCCTAAGACGCTGACGCTACCCGAGTTGAGTCGTGCGAGAAGGCCACTGAGGTAACCTAATAGCTATGGCCCTCGAGCGTCTGCAGGCACGCACTCTAGCTGTTGCCTATAGCTAGCTTAATTACAACTTCTTTTAACACTTCGTGCTAGAATAGCCTTCTTATTATACTATCTACTAGACTAAATAGTACAGTAGATGCGTACGTCTATAATAGATAATTTTTAAATACCTCCTTATAATATATAATAAATTGCTGTACGTTATATATAATCTTATTTAATGCCCCTACGCCTCTAAGTCTCTAGTAATATTAGTAGCTATATTGTAAAGACTATATATATAGCTACGTAGGTTATACCTAAAGTAAATACTATAGCTTTGTTATTAAGACTACCTCTTTAGCTATGCTTCTATATAAGCTAAGCGCTTCTAGCTAGTATAGATATTTCTACCTAAGGAATACGTCTATAGTTCTAGTATTCTATTAGTTAGTAGTACTATACGCTAGTGTTTTTGTTCTTTAAGTTATAGAAGTAGTTAATCTAGTATATTTATATATAGATAGCGTAATATAGCTAGAATGTCTATAAGAGGGGGCTTAACGTCCTCTATATAATGGGCTGAACGCCCTTCGCCTCTTATACTCGTCTTCAACTACGTGTTCTCCTACCTAGCCTAATAGTTACTTAAGTAACTAGCTTATATATAGATAGTAGTTACGTACTTTAACTGTACAGTCAATTTTTTTAATACCCGATTCTGGCAGGTTAGAGTGTGGCCTGCCATTCTTTTCTAAGATAATTGATCTGATACGCTGTATAGCAAACAGAGGGAAAAAGGTCAAGCGATATTTTACGCTATCTTAGAAGATCTTATGTAACGCTTTTATAATAATAAATAATAAATATAGTAAGTATAGAAATATATATTTATATCTAAGAGCTTCTATAGCTTAAGTAAAGAGTACTTAGGCATTATTAATAGTTCATTATAGAGGGATATTCGACCTACAGGGATGGACGTTGGAATACTTGATTAAACATTGTCTTCATCTTCTATCCTAGGAAATGAAATCTACAATGTCGTTGCACGCCGAAATGGTGAAGATTTCCCCGAAGACTTAGGAATCATCAGCTCAAGGCCAGTCTGGACGCGGGAATTACTGATTTGGGAAGCCTCTTTACTCTGCCTTGGTGACCATAGCCTGGGTACCAATGCTCGTGTCTGGGTGCACAGAATCCCGTGGGGCAAGTGCTGGAGAGGAAATGTTATTGCCCTCTTCATTCCCCGTTATCGTGATGCCCTCTGAATTGAATGGAAGATTGGGTTCTTCTTTGTCTCTGTTCCGAAACAAGGCGTAGAATACAATTGTCGTGAGAGCCATGGCAGCGGCTAGACTGGAATAGAAAATCATCAAATATGGGTCGCGAGCCGCTTCAGCAATTGCCATGGCAAACATGGACCCAACGCCGGTAATGAGCATGTTGATAGATTGGACGAGTACTTTCATCTCCTTTGGCGAATGCGTCTCTGCGTACTCCATGGCCGTGGTCATAGCATAGACCTCGCCTGCGGCCATGAGTACAAATACAGGCGTTTGTATCCAAATGTTTGGTCGTTGCTGGGCAACCGGATGACTGCCCTCGCATAATGACGGATGATTGAAGCATGGCGGGGAAATATAGATGAAATGCTGCACCACGGCTGCATAAGCCATGGAAAGCGAAAGGAAAGTGAAGCCAATGGCGATGCGAGTAACGGGCTTCAGGTAAATGCGTCGCTTGGAAAGTGCTGGATCAAGAACGTATTCCACTAATGGACTGATGACGATGCAGGCGACCTGGTTCATACTTGGCACAACTTCGTTGGGTGTCCGCCCTTTGTTCATATCCCCTGCTTGAGATATCAGGTTGTTCTGCATTTGGTCGAAGCAAATGTAGAAAATGATGAATGCTAGGCTAAGAAAGTGTCAGCTGATCAGCACTGTAAAGATGGAGAGAGATACCAACAGAACCCTGCAAGCACCCAATGCGCGTGTGATTTCATTGGAGAATTCGCTATTCCACGACACTATTTTGCCTCGAGTCGCAAGCTGGTAAGCAGGGTCTGTACGCTTCATCTTGAACCCGTTGCGTGCAGCACAGCCAAGCACCTTCGCCGCTGGTACCATTACGTTGTCTGCAAGCGGAGGTTTCACTATCGAGTTTAGCGATAATCTTGCACCAAGGTCAGTGACGATTCATACCAAAGTATTTCTTGCCAGCAATGATGATCAAAAAGGCCATGAGGGCACAGCCGCCGCCCAATACAAAGGCGGGAAAGAAGCCATAAAATCTCTCAATGCAAACAATTGGGAACACCAAGAGTGCGCCTACGTTCCCAACCCAAAACAGCAAAGTATAGATGAATTTGAGGGTAAGTTCGGGATCCACCATGACGACTTCTTCAGTCAAAGTGGCTGGCAGCCATTTGGACAAGTTTGTGTTCTGCATCTGCTTTCGAAGGAAACCCAAGCATCGATTTCGAGACGGCGGGCATGTTCGGAGTCGTGGAGTCCTATCTTTGTACTGCGCAGCAATGAAGGACCTGACGGTAGCTTGCGCCTGGTAGGATTTAGTAAGCACCGCATACGCTTTGCAGTAACGAGAGAGACGTACACATCCGCCTCCTAAGGCGATCAAGGCCATTGACATGAGTAAACCCGGTAGGCCGGCTCCTCGGTCAAGCATGCTTGGGTAAGAACTGACGGCCAAAGCAATGCATCCTAGCACGTACACTCCTAGGCTGATGACCAATGTCTTGTACTGGCCCACGCGGCTGTCTACCAGTGATGCAAAGAGGATTGGGCAGGTGAAGTAGATCACGAAGAAGCCGCAGAAGATGCGTGTTGCTGTTGCTTGGCCAAGATTCAGGGCTCCTGGGGTGCCTTCTATGGTGTAATGTCGTGGATTCTCCATGTAGTTTTCTATGGCATGACAGTGTCAGTGGTGGTCCGGATCAACTGACAATGGGGAGACGGAGAAACGTACGCCAAGGCGCAGCGACTATCGTAGGAAAAGAGTCAGTTGTTTGTAGACCTGAGTTTGAAGCCGGACCTACTGCCCCAGAATGCTGCTCGCTCCCAGAACCCTGCTACAGCCACTATCCAGACCATGGTGGGAACTCTGTCCGGTACGCGCCTCAGCTTGCAGGTACCATCTTCGCTATCTGACAGGTCAATACTAGATGCCTGCGTGGTTGAGCTCCCCGGTTGCCTTTGTCCCGAATGTCAGAATCTAGAGCCATGCCACGCGGAGACAGCAACTCACTTGTTCATTGTCTAGTGTTGCAGTGAACCCGGGCACTCTGCTTTCCCGTGGGCGATATGGTGCAAATAAGAAGGGTTTGCTAGTCGAAAACTGCCTAGGTTTGCGCTATATGTACTAGGTGCTTCCTAGAAGTTTCCCCCGATACAGATATACGGGTACCTGCACACCACTGTCCACATCTCAGGGTTGGCTTTGATGCAGGTACTTAGGCCAATGAGCCAGATTGCATCTCCCAGCTCCGCTGTACAAAACATCTCAACAAACCCTCTGCCCAAACTTGAGCTTCGGTTATGATGTATGTGTTACATACGTGGGGTCCTCGCCATTCTGCGTACCCCTTACTGTAGCCAAGTATGGAGATCTGGCAGCGTAGGATATCCATATATTCATTACATTGCACCCTTCGGTGTACCTGGGAGAAGCAATGGAACAGTCTAGACTTCAAGAAAGGGAATGTGAAGTGATGGAAAGAGGCATGGTAGTAACCAAAGAGATGTTTCGAATGGCGACGACCAAGACCAACTTAGCCAAGTGAAGGCCGTGGCTTTCCAATGGCGCGAGTGTTTTGGATCCGAAGGATATGGCTGGTCAAGCCCAAATTATAGTCGGCCAAGTGCCGATTCAGCTGGTCACGTCATCCGAGTGCTGTACAAAGACAGCTCACACTTGTATCATGAGTACTCATCACCGGGTATTGCTGACCTAAGTCTCAGGCCGATTTCACAACGTGACTAGTCGAGGTTGTTTGTTGTGCACAATAGTTACTTGCATGCAGGGAAAACGAAGGCGGAAAGTCTGATCGGGCTTCAGTGGCGGTGAGATGGCAGACGTGGGAGCACAGCCATGACCAGGACAGCCACAGTAACCAACGTTCAGGCCTCCGTGCACGCCCTGTGGTTGTTGCCACACGCGCATTTTCTCCGCGAGATTCGATTTGCGTCCAGTCGCAAGAGAGGTGTAGACATGTATATTGATGTGTGTGTGCGCGCATCTGTGAGATGATGACGGTAACGAAGGAGGGCCAGAAACATGGAACCGCGTTGCGTCGGACCGTGGGGGGTTGCAGGTCATGGGCGGCAAAGGGCGGGGGAAGACAGGGCTAGAATGCGCCCACTGGCAAAACTATGTAGTGAGGCCTAGGGTGCACACGGCCCATAAATTCCATCCTCTGCCACTAACGCCGCTCCGTCAACATCCTCTATTTTTTTTCTTGCTCCTTGGACACAAACTCGCCAAATACGCCCACAATGTATCATCTGGATGGAAACCCGTCGCCGTCGGACCATACCCTCTTCAAGGACCTGCTCAAGATGACAACTTCAAAGTGGCAGTCGATGGTGAAGAAGGACCCAGCCCCAGCCCAGGTCCAGGTCGAAGCCAACCCAAGACCATGCGTGTCAAGAAGCTCCACCCAGCTCTCTTTGCCAAAACCATCCGAGTAGGCTTCATGCGCCCCGACTTGGGGGCAGTCTGCCAAGCCGTTACATACATTACCAGACTGTCCCATATTACCCGGTCGGGCCTGTCCCTACGCCCGCTACGCCCGCAACCACTCTAGACGACAGCTTGGAGGGGCATTGCGTCTCCCCAAAACGCCATGGATCAAACAGCCCGTATTGGCATCTTTCGGACTATAGGTCGGCCATTTCATGTATGACCCAATATCATGTCTGCAAGCAAAGACACGACACCAGTCTCCCGAACCTCTCATTACTGCATACTCCTACTACAAACACATCGTTCACCCCGGCGGCTTACCACAATCTTCCTTCCCCGATAGACCTCAACATCCATCGCTGATCGACTAGACAATGCCGCCTTGTCGATGTGTATGACACGAGCCTGCACGCAAACACCCCGTATACATACATGCACGTGCATATTGTGTGGTGGGGCCGAAGCTAGTAGACGCAAGCGACAAGCTACCGAGTACGCTACTTTTACACGGTGCCCCAAGAAGCCTGTCAATTATGTGCAGACTGCAGAATGTACATGGAGTGTGAGGGCCTTGGCCTTGGCTGCCTGTTTACAGCCACATGTTTTTTATTATTATTAGAAGGGTGGGGGTTATTGACTAAATCTCTGTGCTCCAGCCAAGTCAGGTTTCCCTATGGTTGGAACACCTGGACACGGTGAAAAGGCTTTGGTTAGATGGTGTATATTCGTTAGCTAAGAATTTTTTTGTACAAGTGTCCGCGTGGTGGGCACACCCTAATGTTAATACAACCCCGACAACCACAAATGCCAAAGTCTTTCCATGCAATTTGGGCCAGCCTCAGATTGCTGAAATCTCGTTCGTGATAGTCAGCACCAAGTATGCCCTCTTTCGAACCTGACCTTGACACAATCAAACTGTCCTGGGATTTGACGCAGTAACGACCGAGGACCAAGTCGTCATGTGGCCAGCAAATTGTTTCGTCCTTGGTCTTACCGAGACTGAACCTGGCCCCGTAGTGTTGGTTGATCGGCTAACATACGGTCATTCTTGAAATGGATCCCGGAGGAGCCGGGATCCATCGCATTCCCGCAGTAGTAGTAGTTTCGGAACTTTGCAGTTCTTTGTTTGCAAACTCCCATCCAGTTTGCCAGTCTGCAGACAAACAAAAATGCCCAAAGAAATGCTGTCCTGTGTCGGCAACAGGGGAGCCGGCTCCCATCCTTGATGCATGATGTTGTATTATTGCGTCCCTTTGAAAATCCCTTCCGCCGAACAATCTGCCTGCAGGGATTACGCATGATTTCCAACGGACAAATGCCCTCGGCATGGAGCGCGAATACATCCGGATTGGGTAGGTAGTCGAACTTGGTCGTGTGATGTCTTCGGAGAAATAAAAAAACAACCAATGCTTGGCGACTTTTTACTACTATCCTGACTCGCGATTGCGACAACGCCGTATGTGTCTTTCGAGATTGTCTCTCCGCGCGAACCGTTTTTGCGGAATGGCACATGCCGGATTAGGACAGGAGAATGCTTGTGCTTGGTACATGTCCTTGTGGACACTTCGCTCATGCCTCCTCAAGTCGGCTTTCAGCGCAAATGCTGAAGGGCAGTGCTGACAGCGATAGCGCCGACGATGCTTGCGGTTGAGATGCATACTGGAGGTCCGTTACTCAGCAGCAAGAAGAAGTCGTTCACATTCCATTGCTTGACTTACTTGAGCTGCCCTTTTGTCGAATACGTCGTTTGGCACGCGTCGCAATCGTAAGACCCAGCTGTCTTTCCGGACTGTGCAGAAGCAGGCGCATCTGCATCACATGGCTGCGCCGACTCACCACGCCCATCCCGAACAGCATCCGATAATTCACACGACTTTTCGCTGTTTCGAGAAGAGCCGGTGTATTCGATTGGCGAGTCCAAGAATGGATCATCGGAAGAAACACGTGTTGCAGCTTCAGAAGGGGACGAGGTTCGAGGGGTTGACATGCTCGTTAGTGCCACAGTCTGCAGACTTTCTTTACTACTTTCCGAGTCGATGCTTCTGGACATGGCGCCTCGTTTTTGAAGCCAGGGAAATATGACTGGATTTGGGGCGTGCTCTGCATCCCAGGGGCTAATGCACTGCTCTTCGTCATTGGTTCCACTGACCCTTTGTCTCGCCCAGCCAAGATGTGCAGGAGCTACAGTGAGTAGCTGAGATGAGCCCTCTATATACACTAATCAGTGAAAGCTACGAGAGTTTTGATATTTTAACGAACCGCTCTGTGGCACGATACGTTGTAGGTATGAAGCCTTGTCAATGCCCAAAACTCGATCGGCTGTAACAGCTCTTGCAGGCTTCAATGTCTTGTACCTTTCTTGCCTTGCCCATATGGAATCGACAACTGGTGGGCGTTCATAAGGAGGCGGGTTCAGAGTTTGATCTTTCTCATTCTTCTCGAGATCGCGGAGCTTTCTGAATGGATCCAGTTTGCGTCTCCTAATGCGATCTCTCATCCAGACCCAAACCATCGGTGTTGCCAGAGCGGCCATAATAGCGAGACAAATACCAACGAACATGACGGAATCTTCTTTCGAGCTCCTCCCATGTCGCGGCATTAATGATCGGCTTTTCCCTGCTGTTTGAAACGACATCTCTCTCGACATGGGGTGGAGCAAATTTTCGAACGTATGCGCCTTTCGTGAAGCCATGATTCAAGTCGGCCTCACAGTGGGGCTCCCCGTTTGCAGTGTCAGTGTCTGCTTGACCCTCCAGAGCAGGAGCATCCCTTTACAACAGCACTTGCTCGGTGGTAGTTGCTTGATGCCATGACAATTTGAGGCTGAGGCTGGGAGGCATACCTAACTTGGCAGCAGGTCGTGATTGGGTAATCATGTTCGTCGGATGGACATTAGCACCTCAAAGAAGCGTTTTGATTCGACTGATCTGACGCGAATCCCATTTGGGAGTTGTGGCTTCGATATTAGCCCATTTGGCCCCCGGTTAATGTCGTCAATGCAAGTCTCGTATGGCTTACGTAGATTGAGCCCCCATACTCGAGTTGAGTCCATGTTTTATTGCGATACAAGAATGACCCTATGTGATAGAACAAAGCTTAGATAGAATTCTTGGTATGGCGTATCGACGTTTCGTGTTAACATGTTGCTGGCGCGAGAGAACGCAGCTCATCTGTGGGGAGCGGCAAAAACACCAGGAGATTTCACCGGCAGGAAGGCGCCGCCACCAATTGATCCTATGTAATCTCTCGATTCGTGGACAAACTCTGCGCACCCACACATTATCCACAGGCCTCGATGCTACATTGGAAACCCCGTAAGGCGGCCCTGCATTGGATTGGTTGGTGACGCTTGATACTCGTATCTTTTTGCTAGTAGAAATCTCTTACGGAGTTTGCTGCTTCAGCTTTCCGGCATTCTTTTTTTTTCACAGCACGAATCTTTGGAGGACGGCACATTGTTGAGTGAGTTTTGCAGGAAGCTCTGCTATGGCAAAGTTAGTTGAGTTTCAAACAGTGCATAATTGTGGTTTAGATGCCTAGGTTCACCAATGTCCGCGCTGTTTTGCACCATTTGAAACTTGAGACGAGGGCATTCAACGAAGAGAATCTCGAGAACATCAATTTCGCGATAAGAATGATGGTTTGCAACGTAGACATCTCCTTGAAACCCGCCTAATCAAGGCAGCATACAATGCAGAAATGATTTACAGGTTGGTCGTGATGATGACCGTGCAAGGCCAAGCCACTCAGGGTCGAATACTGGTGTTCTTTTGCTATCACCCCTCATTGTAAGAATGAACGTAACTCGTCCCTTGGGCAGCGTGTTGTATATCCTAAGGACTTTCCCAAGAGCCCAATCATAATCTTAAGAGAGATATCAAGGGTTGGAGATGGAGAAGATGTGTAAGATAGCCTTGTGGAGGAAGTAAGAAGTGCAGTATTTTTATTAAACGACTGAGTGTTGCTAACCTACAGGAATGTTGCTAAGGTAGAAATGATGAATCAAATTGTGTAGACGCCAAGTTGCCTACCAACTAATATCTGCAACCTTCGTGGTCCAGACCCTCGAATCATTGTCCCAATCCCTTCCAGTGATCAGAAAGATACCCACCACGTCGATATCGCCAGAGTTCTTGATTCCTTCCATCGCAATGTTCATCCAGACAAACTCCTTGGCCATAGTATGTCGCATAAGCCGCGTTCACACTCTCATGGTGTTCTCGTGTATGTCGCTTGACAGAGTTCCATAGGCTTCGTGTCTTGCTTGGCTCTTTCAGTGTGGATCCACATGGAGAGGAGCGGATGGATATAGCAGAAGAAAGCGACTTCCATGGGTTGAGCTTGTCGATCGACGTGCGAGGTGTTGTTGTTGTTGTTGTTGTTGTTGTTGTTGTTGTTGTTGTTGTGGAAGTGGAATAGGAAGTGTAAGTGGGCATGGCGGGCGACCGTATCGTGGGGTTGTCGTCGTCTGATATGGTACCTTTTTTGCAGAGTAAATGTTTTGAACTCAAGGGTTTGCAGGCAAATTGGGCCGACCTGTTCCCTCTTATTCCGATGCGACGTGTCGATTGTGATGATTGCTGAAAAGGACACGAAAAGGAAATATAGGTTATGATTGGTACAGTGCAGGGATAGTGCGTTGTCCCTGCGTGTAGCCGTACCACGGTGTAGTCAGTGTGTGGGCGGGATTGCGTTTGTATGACCTTGGTTCCCAGTGATGGCTCTTGGTGGGTTTAGGTCGGTATCACACTTCTTTATATACGGCCGATCGCCCTGCCGCTCGCTGGTACTCAGCCAAGCTTTGCAAGCTCCAGCCTTGTGACTGCATCATTCTACAGGATCACACCTTTTTGCTATGCCAAAAGCTACAAACTTCTCAGTCGTCATGGCTAAAGTTCAAACATGGCTCGAGCGGATGCTGGCATACCTCGGCGTCCCCACAGTGTAGCCAGTAGCGTGCATGATGTCCAAGCCACTCATGTCCAGTTTGGGATGTGGCTAACTTTCAAAACGGCGAGTGATGTGAAGTTGCCTGGTTTGTGCGGCCAAGCACGCGAAAGCTGGGTCACTGCACCGTGTCGATGCAGAGATGGTGTGCAGTGTCCTACTGGACACATCCCGGCAGGAACTGGACAACGCGTGGAACACGAGAATTGACAAGCTGGGCGTAGGGCGCGCGCCTTATCGAGATTTGCTAAGCGAGACGTGGGCTAGCAGTTACGCGCCCTTTGCATGTCAAAGACCAAGCGTCAATAAAGAACATGTGCATGACTACCACATGACTCACCTTGACAGGTGCTATCAGCGAAGAATAGGGCGCAGCTGCTGCAAATGTTGAACCGAGGGTGTGCCTCCAGAATACAAATCGTCATCATTAAACGTGGTAGTATTACTACAAAATGTATTTCATCCCCCCTTCAATCATTGGCTTTCTACATATGTACATACAATATGCACATACAGGTGACATGGTCAGGCCTTGACAACTACCTGCCAAGGTAGTGTGTTGTCGAAAAAGAAAGTCGCCTTTGGCTGAGAAGCAAGATTAGTATCAGTCATGTTACACATCTTGGTAACATCGCCAGCCTCAGCTCGCTTTTTCTGGATGATTTGCTGGTACTCCGACAAAGGGCACGAAGAGCCTGGCCCACTAGTACATCCTGTGACGGGGTAAACGACCTCGTTGATGCGGATGCGCATGTACACATCGTTCACGTTTGTGCCGTTACGCCTCTCGTGGTGACGGTAAGTGCTGCTGGGAGCAGTGGTTGCGCAGAACAAGCGTTCAAAAGCAACTGTTCCACGCATCTTGACTACTTGAGAGGATCGAAACAAGCGATCAGAGAGCGACACGTTGGCGGGAAGTGGAGGCTGGCTGTCAAAGACGCCGATCATGGCAGCTAGCTGGTTGATCTGTCCATCGTTGGCGAAGTTGGCCATGATGTTGGGTGGAGTGAAGGTCCCGTTGGCAGTCTTGTAGGTTGCATTGGGGCCATCAACAAAGCGCTGTACAGCCATGTCGATGACTGGTAGCATCTGGTATTTCTCGATACCCGAGCCAAGACCAGTGCCATACCAGTAGCGCAGGTCCTGGGCATACTCGTACTGCAGAATCTCTTCCTCGGTCAGAATGTCGCAGAATGGGCTAAGCCGGCCAGTTATCTGTGTCTCGAAACCGCACAGATATGGGATTTGATCGACTTGGCTGTTTGTCAAGTTCAGGCCTCCTTGGATCTGGGAATTGAGCCTAGCGGCAATTGGTGTTAGGTAGATCGAGTCCCATACTGGTTTAAAAGGGCTGCCTTCGTCGTCGTTGTAGGCCTTGCAAAGGTCGCTCGGGGCGAGAGAGTTGCCCCAGCTGGTAGGATTGCTTGCATTAAGAGCATAAATGGTGGTGAGGTCAGTGGCATTGGGGCCGACAAAGCCTTGTGCAAACAGACGAGCGCTGTCTCGTACACGGGGCCCGGACGTGTAGTAGTTGGACCACATGGTAAAGGGAGTGTTGTACTCGTACAAATCTGGGTAACGAAGGCGCCAGGTGGTGCCCATCTCGTGGAGCTCCTTCCAGCCAGTCGGGCTCAAGTTGGCAATTTGAGCCTCTGGGTTGGACAAGACGGGCCTCCAGGTCTTGAGGAAAGCAAGCTTTGGGTTGGTGACGGTGAAGTTACCGGCGGCCTGGATGTACTTTGAGAATTCTACCCATCCGTTGTAGGCACCCCTGTCCGGGTAGCGCGAACCATGGCGAGAGAAGAAAGCTGGGGAAACGTTAGTAGTGTGACCTGTGCGATGGTCTGGTAGGCAGCGGAGCAACGTTACCTGCCAAATCAACCTTGCATCCCTCAGGCACTTCGGATGAGATGCCGGTTGTCTCCTCGCCCGGATACCATTGCGCATTGCCGCCAATGTGTTGGAAGATGTTGAAGTCCTGCTGGGCAGCAGCTGCAGTGCTGCTGGCTGCAAGAGCCAATGCGAGAAGCTTCATGGCCGTCGATGGGACTGGAGAGGCGGACGGGGGCTACAGAAGCCATGTCGCTGCGAATGTGTATGCATTCTTATACGAGTACGGCGGCCGTGTACCCATGGTGCATGAAGCTGTCGAGTTGACCAAGAGCGTTAGGACCGGAGATGACGATAAGGCGATGCTTCCTAAGGCGGTAAGGATGCTCAGGTACTCGATACACGTGGGGACAAGACCAGCAACTGGCTGGTCTTGCTCGCACTGCGGCGTCGGCTGGGCGGGATCCTTCGCGCCGATGCTGAGAGCAATGCCGTGCGCGCCTGTGTTCCTCCATGTCGGTATAAAGGTACATGTGTCTGGGCCTGGTGGGTGCACTGTCATGCAGGCGCAGTAGTAGTAGTAGTGGTGGTGGTGGTGGTGGTGGTGGTGGTGGTGACGATGCATCCACCCACCCACTTCACCGCCCATGCAACTGCAATCGTCGCTCCGATTAGTCACACACGTGCTTATCGATACCGGACCCACCATCGCGACAGTTGACCCGCCTGCATCAGCGCCCACCATTGCAACCCGCCGACAACAGACAGCATTTGCATAGCCATGCCCATCCTCATGCCTCCCCGGTGACTATCTCAGACGAGCCCCTCACCTTTTCCTGAACCTTCGGACCATGGCTGAGCCCAAGCCGCGCCAGCGCAAATTTGCCCCCCGGTCACGCACAGGCTGCTTGACATGTCGAACTCGGCGCAAAAGATGCGATAACGCGCAACCTCAGTGTGCCAACTGTGCACGACTCAATCTCAAGTGCGAGTGGCAGCCTCCACGCAAGATTGTTTCGTCGGAGCCACTTTCTCCGCCCTCTGCTTCCAAAAGCCCCGATCTCCACACTGAGCTTTCTTTACGCCCTGGTCTCGATCCGTGGGATGCCCTGCCCGGTGACCACCAAGCCGAAAGAATGCATTTGCTGCAATACTACGTAGAGGCTTTCGTGCCCAGCGTCCAGGTAGCCCCGATACCCACCAGTTTCTACACCAGTCTCTACATGCCTTGGTCCTTTCAGATTGAAGGTATGCTGGATGCCATCCTCGCCATTTCCTCCGCTCAGCTGGCACGAAGAAGTCAAGACGCCCATCGTGCCACCCATCTGCGAGCTGTCTCAACCCGTCATGAGAAGAAGTGCTACGACTTTATTCGAGAGCGCTTGTCTCCCTCCGGTGGACTACCAAAAGACACCTACCAAGTCACGGCCGTCATCTTGATTTTGGTTGGCCTGGAAGCTCTCAATGGCGTCAAGACGACCAGGTGGATTTCTCAATTGAAGAGTGTTCAGCGCATTCTAAACTCACTTTCCCCCGAGCAGAGCATCATGGATTGTGTCGAGGTTGACTCCCTACATCGGCACTTTACATACCACTTTGCTTCTGCCTCACTTATGGCCCGCGTTTCCAACCCCGGAAAGGCTGGCTCACCTGACCAGGGCTTGCTCTCAATCAGTGCTGCCCTTATGCCAGGCACGATTGATCCTCTCATGGGCATCTCGTACCAGCTTTGTGACCTTATTTCCCGCATCCAATACATCAATGTTTCAAACCCAGCTTTTCCGCTGACGACAGAAGCTTCCTTTCATGTAATAGAACAGGGCATACAGCATTGGAGTTACGACAATCCTTTCGCACTAGGTGTTGACACCACCATAGCACTCGACCTTGTTTCACTCGCAGAAGCCTACCGTCTTGCCGCCCTCATTCAACTTTATCGTACTTCAACAAGTCACTCGCATCTCATTCCTGATTGCGCAGCCCGAACCATGAATTTCATTGCCCGCATCCCTCCAGGAAGTGCTGCTGAATCAAGCCTACTCTACCCAATATTCCTAGCTGGCGCAGAGCTAGACGACGAAGCAGCTATCGAGCAATGCTTCACAAGATTGGATGGTATCCAGAAACGCAATCGCTATGAGAATGTAGAGTGTGTCCAGAAGGTTCTAAAGGAGGTTTGGCGGCCAAAGCTTGAAGGTGGGCGAAGACGTGACTGGGAAGAAGTAGTGCGCGAGTGGCAATGGTCCTTCACTCTTGGATAAACAACAAGTCGCATTAGTTTACAGCCTAATCAATTCAATTAAGCTAAAGGGGGCCCGAAAACCAATCAATTTAGTTTGGGACTCCCAAAATTGGTTGAATGGATTGTTCACAAGTCTGGCCATTGATCATGCGAGGGTCCAGAGTAGTACGCATCGCTCATGAATCAAAAGGCTGCGAGCTGAGCATCAGAAGAGAATGGATATGCAGAGAAAAGTCTATGCACAAGCGCGCCAGGCCTGCTATAAGCATCACCAAACTATCGGAAAGTATTAGGCGCTCAAACGACCATTTGGGACATGTGACAAGTCGAGATGTACCTCAAGACTAAAGGACTGAACTACCATGTACCGCAAGTACGATCTCCCATGCAAATACACACCAAAAATTGACTGAGTCGATAGATCACTGTTCTTGTATTTCGAACGAAAGCTTTTGGCACTGTCCCCACTGTGGCAATGACTGTAGCCACGATAAATATCTATACATACTCGAGCTGAGTTATCCTGAGAATTTTCTTGTGATGCAGACAAAAGGCATAAAAGATCAAGCAAGATATCAGTACAACTACTGTAGGCCACTGGTCGAGGGGTTTTTCCTTTCTTCGCTTGCGTCTATCCCAAAACCCCCGGAATTTCATTCAAACCAACTTCTAAAAGGTTTATCTCCAGTATGTTTTGTACCTTTTGCTTTTAAAAGAAGCAAGATAGGGGTGCTCGTCTACACGAAAAGGCTGAAAAAAAATGTAGATGTTAATGAAATTGTCGAAACAAACCCGCAGGAGGCAACCTAGGAGCCACTATATATCTTTGTTACAACTCAGCCACATAGCGATTCTGAAATTTGACTCTTATGCCCAATATGTTTGCATGGCATAAGACACTGGTATCATAGCGAGCTTTTGATGATGAGTTCAAGAGAACTTAGCTATGTACAACAAGACGGTCGATTTGCAAGCATCAAACAAGACTCCTTTGATCGGAGTTCAGATAGATCCAATCGATTAAAGCTAGCAGTTTTGCGAACACATTACCAGTTAACTTCCAAAGCCCCGCCCTCGTCAAATATCGAGGTATCACCAACTTCTCGTTTGTCAATTGCCTCATTTTCGATCAAGGTCTCGTGATCCGTCTCGTTACCATCCAAAGCCCGCTTTTTGAACGGTTTCGTAAACTCGTTAGGCCAATCTGGCCCACCTCTATACCACCAGCTCTTCCACCAGATCAATGTGTCTGGAATCGTCTGTATATTTTCGCCAATAGCATCGACTCTCGTAATCACTCGATTGCGTCCAGTTGCGTCAGTCCACTTATCTGTACCTGACATCTTCAGGCGCGGAAACTCGACTTGATTCCAAATGCTTGACTGTTTGACCCTTCCAGTTCGTCCACGGCGTATGTTGCGATCCATGATCGCAGCTTTCCCACCGCACATGTACGCCATGGTGTCCGACATACGCTCAAAATATTGTTGACGAACAGTGTTTCGTCGCCCGGGCCAGACATTGACTTGAACAATACAGCGCATATCATTGTCCCAGCGCTGATCCGTCAATTGCGGCATCCATCTATCACCCCAAATCTCCTAAATTTAAGAATGGTCAGTTCTTCAGTCGGACACGGCAATTATACTGTACAAACATGTTACTGACCCATATAGTTGTAAGTCTACTGCGACCACCTATTGCATTGTGTCTTCGAACGAAATTCACTGCCGTGTTGGACAAGCCAGAGGTGTAGAACACGCATTCGTCGATTTCGGGCTTCCGAGCGGTAATTGACATGAAAAACTTTTTATGTAAGCTTTATGGTTGTAGATTTCATTGAATGTGTACCCACGTCACGAGTGAATTGACAGGGCTGACGGCAGGCAACGTAGCCTGGCATGTTTTCATATCCCCTGCATGCATCGTCTCCCTCGAACCTCAGCCGATGGGAGCATCTCGTGCCTTGACGTTTATCATGATGTCCTACCGCAAAATTTTCACTCCGACTCTGAAAAGGGGTCGCATTGGCCGTTGAAATATTTCCCACGGCTACAAGATCTTTATCGTTAGGTGCGACCAAAGGCAGGGTAAGGAAAAGGCTCTCTTGTTCTTTCTGGTTGATAGCAACACCGTATGCCGACTGAAGCTGTTGCAGGATGGCAATGGAGATGTTCCCCTGGGGCGTTTCGATGTCGTCGCAAGTTACAAGGCCAGGTAGACAGAGAAAAAGAAGCGAAACTAGAGATGATGTCTTGGTCATAGTGAATCGGCAGACAGAGAGCATCTGTGGTGACTCTAACAACAGGTACGATGTGTTCCATTATACTTCATCGTTTGCCAATCTAAATGCTAGATTCACATACGACCCGTTCACGCCTAAGAATCTAGAGGGCCATTAGGTACAGGCCATGATAAAGCCTCGAAAGAGAACTTTCGCCGAAAATACGAGCTTTGCATGCTAGTGCGGCCAATTCTAGCTCTGATGGCTGTTGGAGGCGTCAGGCAGGCAGTCAGATGAATAACCTTGTGGTTCTCTCTTTGCGCATTTCAATATTTACGCCTCGCGCCTGATACCGCACTTCAGAGTCGTGAAGGCATAAGCCAAATTTCAGGACGGTACGCCCTAAGGCTACGCCGATTTCAGGTGTCAGATTTCCGTGCCGTGCCGCATGGTCATTCATATTTTCGTTTTATTGGCCGAGATCACAATTGATGTTGTTGGCTTTGTGGGGGCCAGCTAACCACAAGGCATCCACATTGTGTTCTGGGGCGGGGCGTACTTCATACGACGTTGACCAAGGGAATTATTTGGGATGTCAGGTTACTACTCTCTGTTGCCTAGCTACAGAGAAGTTGGTGGCTCATTCGGTTTTATTGCATTAGGAAAGTAAGCTCTCGAATATGAAGTTGGGCCGAGGTCATGCGCCTTCTTCACCAATCACGACTCAAAACTTTTACTATAGGCATGGAAAAGGACTAGAATCTTCAGTTTAGTCTGATTTAGAGAGCGAGCACACTTCGGACAGTGACTACCAGATCAGGAGATAGTATGTACCTTAAACTAAGAATACTGTTGCAGACATTGCGATGTCTGAATACACAAATGGGCCGGAAAGGCACGCATCAATGTGTTAAAGCTTGTACTACGTCTTTCGGACACATCATTCTCTGAGCCATGCTATCTCTCATTCGCTGGCTAGGAATAGTCTTTTGTTTCTGTTCTCTAGTTCAAACATCCCTTGCAAGTACGATAGCTGTCCGCCAGAATGGTCTCAAGTTCTTGATCGTTGGAGATTCAATCTCTCACGGCGCTGAGGGAGACTGTGAGAAATTCTGCTTCAACGTAGATCATCAATTCTGATGATATCTAACACACTCTAGATACATGGCGGTACCGCCTGTGGCAATGGCTGAGAGCTAACAAAATTGGCTTCGAGTTTGTGGGACCATGGCAGGGAACCTTTACGCCAGCAGAACCGACCGCTCCTCAACCTCCATTACTACAAGGGCAGCCGCAACCTCAGACTCCAGATCAGGTAAAGGGTGGATATGCACTAGATGTTGACGCAGGGTTTGACAAAGACCACTTCTGTCATTCAGGTCGACAGGTACATGATCATTTTCAATTGTATATCACTCTTACTAATAATTTCTTGCATGATACAGGCAGCCCAGGTTAAAAATACAATTGCGGCACAAGTCGCCGCGTATCAGCCGGATTACGTGCTTATAGAGCTTGGTTTCAACGATCTGGGGTGGTTCATCAACGGACCAGATGGTTTGCTATCAGACATGAAGCAACTCGTAGACAACGCACGCAATGCGAAGGGAAACATCAAGTTTGCAATTGCGAACGTGCCTCAGCGTACGCGTATCAACGGACGACAAGACTTGATTGATATGACTATCGACTACAACTCGAAACTGGCAACGGCGATCCCAGGATGGAGTACACCGAACTCGCCAACCAAGCTTGTTAAATTTAGTGAAAACTATGCCTGTAGGTTCTGCAGTTCATCCTCCCTACTATATTGTTGGCTCATTTGTTGCAGGTGGGCCGGATAATTGTCCCGCAGCCTTTGATGGGCTGCATCCAAACAAGCTCGGAGAATATCAGATTGCACAAGCCTTCTCGCGTGTTCTCAACAAGGAATTTGGTATTGGGTCTAACGCACTCGACGTTCCTGCAAATCTTCCTGCGCCATCATGTAGTGTTCCTGTCAATGTCCGAGCCGTGACTGCGCCCTATGGTGTTGCCGTGACTTGGGATAAAGTTTATGGTGCTAGAGGCTACAACATCAGAAGCAAGCGTAGCTCATTCGGTGAGTGGACAGAGACATGGTATGCACTTTCAAGCAACCGATACAACCAGATTTGGGTTCTGGAAGGAGAGACCTGGGAGTTTCAAGTCCGTACAAGTTGCGGAGACAAAACAAAGTCCAGCTACTCAGGTGTGGTAAGCGCGGTGGTCAAACAGAGCGTAGCTCCTGGGCCAAAGAATATTGTCATCAATCCCACTAGGGATGGTTTCAATGCGCGATGGGATCCGCCGGATGGTGGCTTCAACGTGCAGCTTTACGAAGTTTTCACATACGATGTAGACGAGCCTTGTGCCTGGCTTCTGTCGCGCGGCATCAAAGGTAACTCCATCACAGTCAGCGGCCTCAAGTCGGGACACAGACACGTATTGGCCATAAGTACGTGGACAGACCTAGGCCCTGGATTCCCATCCGTGCCACCTCGAGTCAAGCCTGGAGCAGGAGCACCTGGCGCGCCCTCAAATCTCAAAGTAAACACCAAAGACGGAACTACGGTTATCTTGAATTTTGATGGCTCTGCCGACGCTGCCAATTATCGAGCATGGACGCGAAATATCAATAACGCCTCAGACTTCTCCAAGGCCGACCAATCTGTGGTTAGCCAGTCTTGCTTAGGTATTGCGTTTCTTTTCCCGGGAGTCTGGAACTATGAGTTTTGTGTTACTGCTATGAATGGTATGTACATGTTCGGATAAGCCGATTCACTCAATACTGAACCCCACCAGGAAATCTCGAAAGTCAAAAATCAAACTGTGTTGTAGGTTCCAGAGACGTTACTCCTGGCGTATCAGAATGCCCGGCGGAACCGACGTTTGAGTGTGGTTGGGGTTCGCCTGGAAATGGTGGCGATGGTTCTGGCCAACCAGGCCAACCAGGCGATGGTGGAAATAATGGTGGTGGAGGAGGCGGTGGCAGTGAAGGCGATAACGGAGGCGATGGAAATGTCTATATTGACCCTTCGATCTGGAAATCTCCGACGCCGCACGTTACCTGCAGCCCGCCTTGCAACTTTATTCTCCCTCCAAAGGTTTTGCCTACACCCACAACCATTACCTTGCCGCCGTATACCACTGACCTTGAGGTTGTCTGGACTATTGATGGTCGAACGACACGTTCGTTCAAGACAACAACCATCACTCTCCCTCCAGTTACCACAAGGACCATAGAATTTTGGGAGCAATCATTTCCTCCAGGTCCGGCATTTACCTTTAGCCCTGTGCCACGTATCCGCCCAACTCCGACTCCAATCACCAATGATAAAAATCCTGGGGTTACCAGAACCATATCGCCAGTTCCCTACCCAACTGAGCCACCTACGCCGGGCAGTAATGATGATCGTAAATATGGTGGACCGTACCCACCAATAGCCATTGATATTGGGCCTCCTGGTCCCATTTGCCCAAGCGGTTGTGGCTTCCCATGCGTCGGTTGTGGGCCTTCTCCCGGGCCATGCATTCCATTGCTCACGTGTCCGAGAGATCAAGGAGGTTTCCAGGACCCTCAAGATCCCGACAAAGAAAATGATGATGACGATGACGATGACGATGACGATGGGAATGAAAAGCCACTTTGTCCTTTTGGTCCAGCAGATAAGCTAGATCCAGTGAATCCACGGGACCTTGGACCGGACGAAGTCATCGACATTCGGTATTCTGGATATCCTGGTACAAGTGATTCTGATCAGGGTGCAGTCAATCCTCCTCAGCAGTCGACGTCCCGAAAACCAACGCCAACACCAACGCCAACGCCAACGCCAACGCCCCAACCACAGAAGTCACAGCGCTTTTATGTCTTCTATGTCAACTACATTGATCTGATAACCAATGACATGGAATGGCAGTTCTTTAATATTCCTTGGTCAACAACCAGTTGGTATGTATGTGAGACAGAAAGATCTTTACGGTGTGGCGATGGCTCAAACAGCTGTCGACTAGCACCAGATGGTGAACTGACAAATCCCCCTTGGCCAAACGGTGAATGGACTATGACAAATGGAAACGCTCGAGGATGTGTGTACAAGAGCGATGGTAAAGGCCCGGGAACATTGAAATGTCCGAATAAGGACTTGATGAGCTGTCAAGCAGCAGTGGATCCAGAGGAGATCGATTGTCCCCCTATATCCTGGGCTGAAAACTACTTCAACAAGGTCATATGTGATTGGTAGTTCTCATAATGGCAGGTAATTGCAGCAATACATGGGATGCATGTATGTACAAATTGGTCAGGTTTTTGCTTGGTGAGGAATTACATGCCATGTTGCAACCTTACAATAACTATCTGACGCCCATCTCATCGTATTGACGCGCCGTGGCGCTACGCAATGTGTAGTCTAGATGTCTCCGAGTCGCATGTAATGCCTGACCAAAAAGATTTTGACCCCATTGTTCCTTGCCAACACGGATAGCCTCGGTGGCGTTGAAGCCGATTCCAAACAATCGATCATGAGGAGATGCGAGTACAAACTCTCTTGTGCCGAAGGACTCCAACCGCCCCTTCAAGGGAGCTGAAACGAAGAATTTCGCGATGTTTGCACGAGTCGCAATATCCAAAGCATCTAACAGTCAGTGAGTACAACAACAAGGCATATGATCATTCAGGGAAACCGTACGTTCTTCCCAAGTTTTAACAATTATTCCTTTTATATTCCCTGCCCATAACTTTTGCTCTTCTGCAGTGTCCGCGACTAGTATTTTCTGCAGTGTATCCTGTGAGTTGATTAGCGATTAGAAGCAAGCCAAACGGAAACTCCTACTTTGTCCCCAAAGAGCCGGGCTTTTTCTGCAAGTATGAAATGTCCAACAGAGGTATATCGCACGCCACTTTCTTTGAACACACACATGTACCATGGAGAGAGGAACCCAACGTCTCTCTCTGTCTCCTTCCAGAACAACACTGGACGGTTTCCATCCTCAGTTGGTTCCTGGGCGGTGCTTCTGTTTGCGATCGACCGTTGCTGACGACCTCGATTGCCAGCCTCTGAGCGGGCGTTTAGCCGAGCTGCACGGGTCACCAACCTCTTACCTTTACTTTTTGCTTTGGGCATTAAGTTTTGTAAAGTATGTGAAAAATAGTTACCGTAGAGTTGGCTGGGGCCTTATATATATAAGTAAGGGCTAGGGTGGGTAGGTATGAAGTGATTGGTTGGTTCTTCGGCCATACTTCCGTCTTTCACCACACTAAAATATCAGCGCTTACATAGAGGGCCTTAGCAAGCGAGTGGGCATCTAGTATCGAAGCTAAGTAAATATCTCTCATACAATCACTCGCGAAGGTAAATAAAAAATTATATACTAGTTTAAGGAGACTATTATATAAGTATACCTTATTATCAAATTATTAGGTTTATAAAGTTAGTTTTAGTAAGTACCTAATAGTTATACTAGTAAATAAGTAAGTATAAAGTAGATTTAAGTTATTAAAACCTAACGAGTTATAAGTATAGAGTTTTATATTAATAATAACCTAACTTTATACTAACTTATATTCTTATAACTTAAGTGTATATTATTAGAGATCTAAGCTTACTAGCGAATCTCTAATAGAATTTAGTACTTAACTTTTAATTAATACTTATTAATTAATCTATTACTAGAAGCTATTATA